TAGAGTAGCCAGCTTTACAAGCTCGCTCCCGTGATATACTACAATCTCAATACAAATTGGTAAACTGAATGTGCGAATGTAGTCCATCACGGGAGTGAGCTTGGAGCAGTACATAAACCTCTACTCCTCATAACACTGATCTTTGTTTAATAGCCATATTGACTTCATAAACCAGCTGCATATGCACCGTTAATTGTTGGTTGACAGTGTAATGGGTATAAACATCTCTCTTTAGTATGTGATAAAGCAACACAGGAGAAAAACATTTTTGTTTTTATTTTTTGTTCTTATTGTGATGTATTTTCCTGGGCTGTTTATACTGCAAGCAATCTACATTGACTGTTTAAATTTGCCATTAATACAGTGTGTCCCTTTTTTTTATTAGCTCTGGTCGGAAGAGACGAGGCCCATTTAAAACCATTAAATTTGGGACCAACATTGACATGTCTGATGAAAGAAAGTATGTATGTTACTGCATGAATGTATATTTAATATGCTGTTTAAAATGATTACTTAAAGGAGAACTATGAGATGAGTGATTTCCACTCACCTCATAGTTCTAGCCGACCTGTGACAATGAGACTGTCACAGGTCGGCTCAGTAGATCGGGAGGTGAGCAAACACATACCGGGTTCGGTCACCTCTCGATCCTGTCACGGCTCTCTGCCGTGACAGGGGGAGGGGCTGGATTCCCCTCTCCCTGCTCCGATCTGCCAGCGCTGACTGGCGGAACGGACGGGGGAGGGGGCGGGTACAGCTGGCTCTGCCTCTAGATAGGCAGAGCCAGCTGTCACGCAGCTGGGCGGATCTCGACGTCCATGTCGGGGTCCGCTCCGGCTGTGGCGTCTCAGTATACCGCGAGCTGTAGCTCGCGGTATACTGAGCTTAGGGTAACGGGAGGACGCTAGTTTGTGTCCTCCCGTTACCTAAGGAGAACTACGGGGGAAAACACTGACCCCATAGTTCTCCTTTAAATAGTAGTCAAGACTCACCTGCCATCAGTTAAAGTGACTGATTAAGCCCAAATAAAGTTCAGCTGTTCTAGTAAGATTTTTTTTTCTGACATTTATTCAGATGCCTGTTATCACTGACCCCCATAGTTCTCCTTTATTATCAAGATTTGTAGGAGTTTTTTTTGTATTAAAGGGAAATGCCACCTATAAATGCACACTTCTTAAAATGTGCATTTAATTTTTTGCATAGAAGCTAGTAAAGCATTGCTACTGGGATCAGTGGACTGCCAGTGCAATTCTCTGGCATATACAGATTCTTTCTCCTGTCCATGTCTGTAACAAGGTGCGAGATTCAGTAGCATGAACGGGAGGACGCGTTAGACTGCAAGGGTGGTGACGTCGCCACACGTGTATTCCATTGAGAATTACAAGTCCCTCTGCCACGGTGGCTGATAGGATTTGATGCTTCTCCAGTCACAAATTCTGTCAAAGGACACCCCTAAATATGGCTGTGATGGGGAATATGGTAAAAAAGGTAAACTTAGCCTTTAATTACATTTTAACACTAGAAAAACAATTAACCACCTTGGTACCGGAGCAATTTTGTCATTTTTGCATACATACTACATTTTTGATCACTTTAAAAATTGCATTTTTTTTTATTTCACACGATATTTGCTCAAATGTTTATCAAATCGATAAAGCATTTAAAGGAGTTTTAGTGCACACATACACAATTTAATCCCCCCCCCCTTTTTTTTCTTTCTTTTGTAAAAGAATGGGTTACATTGAGTAAATTGATACCATACATGTCAGTATTAAAATTGCGTGCGTCCGTGCAATGGCGAAAAACTATGGTTTACAGCTTGTCGGCTTATAGTTAACAGCGAATTATGGCCCTAAAATTATTGCTCTCCGATCTTTGCAGTGATACCTAGCATGTCTGGCGCAATTGTCGTTTACATATGTATGCTCTACATGTGCATTTTCATTAGCGTGGTGGGTTGCTTTTAAAAAAATTTTACTTTTTGTCAGTTTCTTCACTTTATTTCTATCACACAGGGCCTTTGTTAGGGTTCTCTTTATGATATCAGGGGTCTATTAGACTTGTAGTAGCCATGCAGGCTACTACAAGTGAACTGGGCGGCTATATAGCCACCATGATCACTTGTAAATAAGGAGCTCTGCCTGTTGAAACAAAGAAAAAAGAAAAAAAAAGACCATAGCTGCAGCAACAGCTCTGATCACGGTGTAACCACTTCAGGACAATGACGTTTTCATACCTACGGCAGTCCTGAAGTAGTTAAAGGATCCTTTTAGGATAGAAATATGTGATCATCTATTTGCTGACCTGTTTTTCAAGCTGCAGGCTGTCATTCTTATCCTTCACAACCTGTCAGGATATAAATATGCAATGTTTGTGATGGGTCACCTGCACTCCATACAGCGTATTGACCTCTTCTGTTACTGGTTGTGGTGCTCCAAGTGATAACACAGATGGCGCAGTGTTCCAGGATCATCAAAAGGGAAAATCACCAGCGCTCAACTGCAAAACGTGAAGTATTACCGTTTTTATTGACGTATCATGTAACATGCGTCATCAAGCCAACGTTTTGGGGCCACTCAGGGTCCCTTCTTCAGGGCGACATAGTGACCTATGTGACGAACACTTTTTAAGTTCAAACCATTTTTTTGCCTTTACGAAGAAACGTTGCACTTCCTCTGCTAATCATGCAAAAAAAACCTTTAACCTCTCACCTAGCAATTTTCTTTTTTTTTGTTAATAATGTACATAGCCTGCAATGCATGTGCAGTGTGCATTCCCAACTTGTGGCCAAGTGCCGTAGGCAGAAGAGGGGAGGTGGAAAGGATGTCTGTGCTGGCAGACAGAGCATTGAGGGACGGATCTCTTCTTTCACGAGTAGGTTGGGGTAGAAAACCACAAGTAAAAGCTTAGAACTGAACCCAGGCAAGCATCTAAATAGTGTTTTGTGTCTTGCTGTGCAGAGGATTAAATCAGTCATTACCAAGGGAAACTGTTACCTGTACTAACTACATTTTACCATACATTTTGTAGTTTGTTAATTGAATACATAATGGCATTATTTTGGGTTTTTCAGAAGGGAATAGCAATTATGAACATTTACATGCAGATCAGCTGGAATAACTGATGTTTCAGCAGTAATCTAAAGAAAAGAAAAGTTAGAAAAAATAATTTGGTGACCAAGAAAGCAAGCAAGCAATAAAAAGGAATGCAGGGTAGTATGGGGGGGTTGAAACACTTGTGTAAACCACATGACATTCAAGTGGGAACAATTGTAGAATAGATTTGGGATTCAAGAGATTTATACAGGGGCTGTAGAAGTCCAGCAAGGGCCTGTCACTGAACAGGATATTTGTAAATGAACATGCACTATATTGCCAAAAATATTGGACCACCCCTCCAAATCATTGGATTCAAGTGTTCCAATCACCTCCATGCCCACAGGTGTATAAAATCAAGCACCTAGGCATGCAGACGCTTCTACAAACATTTGTGAAAGAATGGGTTGCTCTCAGGAGCTCAGTGGATTCAAGCGTGGTACCGTGATAGGCTGCCACCTGTGCAGTAAGTCCATTCGTGAAATTTCCTTGCTACTAAATATTCAACAGTCAACTGTTTAGTGGTATAACAAAGTGGAAGCAACTGGGAACAGCAACTCAGCCATGAAGTGGTAGGCCACATAAAATGACAGAGCGGGGTCAGCGCATGCTGAAGCTCACAGTGCGCAGAAGTCACCAACTGTCTGCAGAGTCAATAGCTACAGACCTTCAAACTCTGTGTGGCCTTCAGATTGGCACAACAACAGTGCGTAGAGAGCTTCAGGGAATCGGTTTCCATGGCCGAGCAGCTGCATCCAAGCCTTACATCACCAAGTGCAATGCAAAGCGTCGGATGTAGTGGTGTAAAGCACACTGCCACTGGACTCTAGAGAAGTGGAGATGTGTTCTCTGGAGTGACTAATCACTTTCAGTGAAGGGAACTCGTAAGGCATCGGCATACCAAGACATTTTGGGCAGTTTCATGCTCCAAACTTGACCGCACCAGTGCACAAAGCAAGGTGGATGAGCGAGTTTGGGGTGGAGGAACTTGACTGGCCTGACCTGAGCCAGACCTTCTCGTCCAACATCAGTACCTGACCTCACAAATATGCTTCTGAAAGAATTGTCAAACATTCCCTTAGACACACTCCTAAACCTTGTGGACGCCTTCCCAGAAGATTTGAAGCTCTTATAGCTGCAAAGGGTGGGCCAACTCAATATTGAACCCTACGGACTAGACTGAGATGTCATTCAAGTTCATATGTGTGTAAAGGCAGGTGTCCCAATACTTTTGGCAATATAGTGTATTAGGAAAACAATCTAAGCAGAGGCTACTTTCAGTGGTGACCCCTTGTCAAAATGTTCAACGGAGTCAATGATCAGTGCAGTTGAAGTAATGTGCACTCACAAGTGAACACGTGCTTTGCCCATGGCTTTTCTCTACTCCTGGTGTCTAAATGGAGCAGTAAGGGAATAGAGGGAAGGTGAGCATGTAGGAAGGGGCAAGATTTAAGAAAGCCTGTTGTGTTGACCTATGTGGGGAAAGAGGTATGCTTGGTTCCTGCCCATATCTTCTGCTTTTCCATATTCTTAAGTGCAAACAATAAGTAAACAAAAAAAAATAAAGAAATTTGTATAATTTTTCTGCTAAGATAAAAACTTGCAACTAAACTACATTAGCAAAGTTGTGGTTTTAAATCTACATTTTACTATTTTAATATCCTTTCGCCAAAGGTGGAAATTACAGCTACATGAATTGACCAAACTTCCAGCATTTGCACGAGTGGTGTCGGCTGGAAATCTCTTGAGTCATGTTGGTCACACCATATTAGGAATGAACACCGTACAGTTATACATGAAGGTACCAGGCAGCAGAACACCAGGTTTGTGTTATAACCTAAAGTTTTCAGAAGCCACTGTAGAAACCTTATTTTTTGCAAGCTTTGCATTGCTTTGACATATGACATGTAAACTCTACCGTTTAAAGACTAAAGGAGGTATACAGTGAAACATATTGCGTGCAGATCACCAGTTGCATACTAAATCCTTCTGTTTGCTGCAGTAAGGGCTCATGCACATGGTCATCAATACAGGCGTATAGGCATTCAGCATGAACAAACCACTGTATTTTCAGTGCCAAGGAGCCCCAGCTGCTGTGTTTTACTGTCCATAGGATTGTATGGACAGAAAACACTGTCTGTGAGTATAAGTGCTCGAATGAGAAACCTCCGCATATGGGAACATCTGCGCGTGTAAATGGCAGTACCGACATTTACACATGTATGCCTGCATACAGTGTGTTCTCTTCATACATGTCCCTGTGGACAGAAAAGAGTAGCAGCTGGGGCTCCTAGGCGCTGCAAATACAGGCATATTTTACCCTGTATGCCTATAAACTGTATATGTGCATATTTATTCTCTAGTATTTTGTATTAACTTTAATTTATACTATTCATGTCGAAAAATTACCAACAAAAGTTCATATTAGAAAGTATGTTATGGGTCAGTTTTTCAAGTTACTATGTGTTTGTAATGTTTGTTCTCTTCATTTAGGTCATCAAGAAAACAATAATTTTTGCTCTGTGAATATAAATATTGGGCCTGGAGATTGTGAATGGTTTGTGGTCCCAGAGTCATACTGGTGTGTAATGAATGACTTTTGTGAAAAGTAAGTATTTAAGTAACACTTGAAACACATTGCTTTAAGGTAATGCTGTCTTATTTAAAGTGAACATTTTAGAGAAATGCAATGGCTGCCATTGCTGACCTCATGCTGAAATCTCTAGCTGCCTTATTGGTTGATGTGGCAGTACTCACTGCTGGCCATGACTGTTCAGGCATGCATAATATGAGTCATGGGAAAGTCATGTGCTCCCCCATACTTGGAAATACTGGATTTATCACTGTGGTTAGTTGGGCTGGTGGTGGGGTAGCACACATATTAAAGTGTGTCTGCTATCCAGCAAACCTGTTTTCCCCTGAATGGTCAAAGTATAGGTTTTATTTGAGGGGAAGCTGTAAGGCTGGCCATACGCATTAAAGTGGAACTGAGGGCAAGTTTTGCCATCTGTGTACCATTGAGGGGATCTCTCTTCACTTCCTGTCCGATAGTCAAATCAGGAGAGGGATATTTCTGGTAGTTAGCAGAGTCACCAGAACTAGTGTCCCCATTGGAAGATTTCTCATCTATTCCTGTTCTGCTGAAACCAAACTTTCGTTTCACTTTCAGTGAAAAGTCACTAGGACAAATAGAGGGTGAATCTCCCTGAGGTCCCATTCACACCTAGACATACCAGGAACACGCATTGCCTGTTGATTTTAATGGGTGCCACACATGCAACACATTTTCTCACATAGACTCTGCTACATGTGTGCGGCCCGGTTTCCCGGCCACGTTTGGGTTACCATTAACGAGTAAAGGCACAATGCACGGGTTTGATGCATTTTTAGCGCATGTTCATGGAACGTCAAGGTGTGAATGGGTACAATGGCAGCAAAAGACTGAAAGGTGTTCTAACCACTCTCCAATCTATGCAGGTTTCCCTTTAGGTCTGTGGTCAGATTTTACTGTAACTGGGTAATATCAACCTGGTTGAGTCTTAAGCCTGGTTGATGCGCCTTCACTTAAAACCGTTACATTTTGTCAAATTGAAATACCAAATTTGAGTTGTATAGGTTGTTTGAACAAAACTTTGTGCTCCCATTGTGGACTACAAGGTGATATGCCAAAGCGCAGCATGCCAGCACATACAGCTTGAGTTCTCCATGAAGTATGCCAACTTCCATCCATGCTCCCCTAGGCTTATTCTGACTCTGAACGAACTTGTTGCTTTTTTAAGTTAAAAGATAAAGGCATTGGCCAGACAGCAAGCATTTCCAGGATATCAGTATTGACAGCCTCTGTATTTCTTTTAGTAGAGTCCCCCTTTAATTTACCATTGATAAACATTACTAGTAGTTAAACAGACAATTTGCATCCAGCATGTATAGTTTTTTCCTCATATATGACCTTCATTTCTTAGGTGTCTGACTTTTAACACATCTATTAATGTTTTGCAGGAATAATATAAATTATCTTTTGGGATCCTGGTGGCCCAACCTTGAAGACCTTTATGAAGCAAATGTTCCAGTTTACAGGTTCATTCAGAGACCTGGAGATTTAGTTTGGATAAATGCTGGAACAGTTCATTGGGTTCAAGCAATTGGCTGGTGTAATAACATTGCTTGGAATGTTGGCCCCCTTACAGGTGTGTACAGTCCTCACATGTGCTTAAACTATTAATTTAAGGGTATACTACATCCAGAATAAATAATTTACCATTTAGATGGATGCAAGATACATAGTACGGATACTTATCCAGGTAAAACTGTACTGCATCAGTCTATCCAACTCCATTTTGTCTTTTAACCAATGATTTTTTCCACTTAAGTACACTTGCTGTGTTTACTGGATAGCATTAGTAGCTCACAAAATACTTTTATCTGTCCTAAATGTTTGGTTGTCCATTTATTTTTTTTCAGCATACCAGTATAAGCTAGCCGTGGAAAGGTACGAATGGAATAAACTGCAGTGTGTAAAATCTATAGTACCAATGGTTCATCTCTCCTGGAACATGGCAAGGAACATCAAAGTGTCTGATCCCAAACTCTTTGAAATGATTAAGTGAGTCGTGAGATCTTTCTCCTTCGTTATATGTCATGTATGTGCCCTTTGGTTTTCACTTTGTGTTTGTGCTCACTAGTTTAATGTTGCATAACTGAATCTTTCTAGCTCTATGCTATACATAAATCACAAAGCTTTGAATAGATTTACATTTTTTTCACCTTTTTAGTCTGTATGTGAAAATGGCTTTATAAACAAAACGTTTTCATTCTGGTAGTTATCGTTATAGTTTCAGAGCGTTAACTGTATACCCCTTACCAACCAGAGCAATTGTTACATTTCTACTATGGGCCCGTTAAGTCAGCAGTGATGTTGTCATTACTTAAATTAACATAATACATTTAGTAAATTTTTCCATGAAGGTTTTCTTTTTACATTATGGCATTGCAAAAGTCACCTTCTGATTTGATGTGAATTAACCAGAGTAGTGACAATGTGGCAGTAATACCTTTGCTACAATGTAACTCTGACGTCACATACATTGTTCTGTTTCACTAGAGCTGCTCTTGTAATATGGAACAAGTCCCAGCTGTCATTTTAACAGCCAGGATTTGCTGGTAAATGCAGACAGTAAGCTGCTGTGGAGGAGGAGAAGCAAGGGTGTACCACATAGGTCTACTGGATATGCAAGGCTAGCCTGCAATTATTTTTAAGCAAAGGGTTCCTGGCGGGCTTGTTGCATATCCTTGTGAATACTTGGGTAGCTTGTCATTCAGGAGCAGTGTGTCTCTATAGGTTTACTCTCTTCAGTTGCTCCTTTTTTGTTTTTTGCCCTGTGCCTAGTGCACAGATTAGCGCACCTTCGCCATTTCCCTTGGTGTCCTTTCACTCCTGTGGCCCTTGCTCTCTAGTCCCCACCATTCTAAAAAAAACAAAAAGCCCCTGGCCTTGCAGTATGAGGCCCTTATTGGTACCTGGTACCCCTCATTGTCTCCGACCGTCCCTCTGAACTGTTAGATCAACACTTCTGTGTCAGTCATGCACACCTGATACACCTCAGAGCATGGCTTTTGTGTTTGGCCTAGTGTCTTTTCCTGGATTCCCCATTGCGGGGCACTCAGATGACCCCCTGAGATGAGTAGGTTTTTAGATTCCTTTTTGAGACCTGACCCTTTATCTGGTAGACCTCATCAGGTTGTTGGTCTTTTCTTTCCTACAAAATAAGTTTTCACCTGTTTTTGGTGGGTTTGGGTTGATCACTGGATCAAGCTGCTGTTCCCTTCTGCGTGTAATCATTCCCATCGGGTGGTAAACCTTTCCTCCTTGATCCTGAGCATCAGGTTTATTCTCAGTCCCCTCCCTATGGTCATGGTGACAGGTTCCCCTATTGGTAGGGGGGACTCTACCTCATCTAGCTTCAACTTCAGACATTTGTACTTCAAGCAAGTTTTGTGCTGCAGGCAGTCCCCAGTTCTGGTTTGTTGGGCCTGTTATGCTGCTGCGCTGCCCACCACTCAGTTGGATTGCTTTTGGGCATTCCAACCATTTATGAACTACGGTGTCCCTCAATAGATGAGAAAGGAAGTACGATTTTTGTACTTTCTGTAAAAACTTTTCTTTGCTTTTATTTTTTGGAGTTCTTTTGAAGAACAAAAGTCTTGCCCTTCTGGATTTATGATCATGCTCTATGTACTGCTTTGCCACAAAACCGAGGCATGCTAGCAGTAAAAGGTTATCCTGGGCTGGCCTGCAATTTTTTGCTTCCAAGTGTCTGTTTCTCTTGCAAGCGTCAGTTTAACTCGACAGAGTTCTTTTTTCCCCCCCAATACAATCACTACAAAAGTATTTTATGGTGAGTACAAAAATACTATTTTTTTGGGGTAACCATACACAGTAACTTTTATGAAAGATCATATAAAAAAAAAATACCCGCTTGTCCCAAAAAAGTTGCAAACATATCATCTTCACTTTTGTAAAGTAATATTTTTTGCTGAATGAACAAGCCAATACCTTTTTATATGATGGCTCTGGAGTGTTACAGGTTGAACTACCACCCTCCATCTTTCTCAAACCTTCTCAGGCTCTTTGTTTTGCTTCCTGCTAGTGGAAGACACTGAATGTGGAGAAAATTATTACAAACCGACTGGAAGCTGCTCTGATCTATAAAACATCTAGCACTGCCCTTTATGCAGAGGGCTAAAGCCTGTGACGCACTGCACACGAAGCAAAGCTGTCAGGCACGAAGCTTCGCATGTAATGTGTGAGCTGAGTGCAGGCAGATGATTTACACCATCTTCAGCCAATCAGCTTGCGCGTAACAACCGGCTGCATGCATCGTGACGCACTGGTTCATACGCGTGAGCCGATTGGCTGAAGATGACATTTTTCATCTCAGCTATGCAAGCTCTCGCAAGCAGATGTTCTGAAGAAACAATTACATGACACACTGCACGCGAAGGCAGCACGTCACCGCTTTGCGTGCAGTGTGTCACAGCCTTAACCTCCCTGACGCTATTCCCGAGTGTGTTGCTCGGGGTTCATTTTCAGTACCAATAGACGGTAACCCTGAGCCACACTTGGGATTACACAAAAGTGTCACGTACCTTGTCCCTAGGAGCCCGCGGTGCCCTCTGCTGTGTGCGCCCGGCCGATGCCGGCATCCGACTTTTTAGTTACGTTTTCGGGCGTCACAGCGGGGGGCGGAGCCGATGGGAAATTCAAAAGTGAAAACATGACATTTACACAGAATACAATGTAATCTGCTATAATTACATTAATGTATCAAACCATTTCACTTCAATTTTGTCCAGTGCCCTGCCTGCACTTTTGCTGTTCTTTCTGCCTGGAAACTTGAGAACGTCCATGACATCCAAAAAGCGTCCCTTTTAGGTAAAAAGCGGTTTTAGACCAGCTAGAAAACAGCGATAGTAAATTAGAATCACTTGCAGAATTGAGCGATATCGATTCGTTGGGAAATTCGTCACCAGACACTGAAAGTGATGACAGCGACGATCCTGCGACCGAGCTCAGTGATGTGCAAACTTGGTACTCTATTGACTGTGGTACGGATCAGGCAGCGCCCCCAGAATTCCCATTTACTGGACCATTTTTTTTATATATTATATGTTTTTATAATTATTTATTGTATTATAATTTTTTAATTTCGTGTTTCAAACTTTATCATATCTGAGATGTCTACTAGACTCTTGTTTGGACAGATTTAGGTGAGTTATTCCTAAGAATTACTAAGAATTACAGGCCTACAATATAAAACAAGTTTCCATGAAAAACAATGTACCGCTTTGGCATGCAAAAATCCTGCATAATCATACCGCCAGGGAGGTTAAAGTAGTATTAAGGTCTGGGTGTTTTTTACCTTAATGCATTCTCTGCATTAGGGTAAAAATGGCCCAGCACCTTTTTTCTCCCTCGGTCCCCCCCACACTTACCTGTCAGCGACACTCGTCCTCGCCGCTGGTCCCGAAGCAATCCTCTGTTTGGGGGAAGAGTGCTGCGGGGACCCACTAGAAAACGAGGAATTCAACTGTTTTAAAGAAAAGCAGCAATAGCCTCCAGCCATGGAGGGTCCATTTAAAGTGAAAAAAAAACTAAAACAATTGAGGCTTTAATATCACTTTAAGTGTACACTGAGGGAGGAGGAGAAAAGCCCATTACCTCTCTAGATAAAGACAGAGATCATAGAGTTTGCAGGGTGCAATGCAGTGACTATGCATGAATGCAACTTTTGCTAGCTATGTGACAAAACTTTGTGAATCTTAAGTGTCAATGTGGCCTTGAGTCAGAATAGGTTTTTTGTCTTATAATGCAGTTTAAGGCCTTGTTCACACCAAATGCAGAGCAGAACTGCATGAGTTTCTGCACACGCGGTGCCGCGTTTTTGATGCATTCCGGGCCGTTTTTGGTACAAATGGGCTTTCAGTGCGTTCCAGGGCGTTTGCATGCGTTCCAGAGCAGGTAAAATAAGGCCTGCTGCAGTTTTTTTACCTGCTCTGGAACGGAACGCTGCGATGTGAACTGGAGCTAAAAATACCATTGGAATACATTGGACGCAGTTTTTCTCCGGTCTGTAACTGCTCTGCTCCTGGAACGCGCTTGGTGTGAACAAGGCCTAAGGGTTCACTTTCAGGAAAAGTTCAGGAAAGTTTAAAAGAGAACTACGGGGTAAGTGTTTTTCCCCATAGTTGTCTTAAGGGTAACGGGAGGACATATACTAGCGTCCCCCCGTGACCCAAAGCTCAGTATATATATAACAAGCTACAACTTGCAGTATACTGAGACCGACAGATCCCGACAGTGCTGTCGAGATCCACCCAGCTGCGTGAATGACAGCTGACTCTGCCCGCCCCCTCCCCCCGTCCGTTCCTCCACTCATCACTGGAGGATTGGAGGGGGATCCCTGTGGGGAGCAGTGACTGACGGTCACCACTCTCTGCAGGGAGATCGAGAAGTGAGCGAGCGACGGTATGTGTTCGCTCACTTCCCGATCTATTGAGCCGACCTGTGACAGTTTCATTGTCACATGTCGGCTCGAACTATGAGGTGAGTGATTTTCACTCACCTCATAGTTCTTTTAAGTGCTAGGATTTGCTCAAAAGAAATATGACATGAAAAAACAAGTCAGATGTTGCTGGCATCCTTCGAACGTTCTAGTTGCCTGTCATATTACCCACTTGAATACTTTTGAGTCACTGACCTGAGACATATATGCAGATCAGGATTTTTCTCTAACTTTTATAATCTACATGCTTCTTCCAGGTTATTAGCTCACTGTATGGAGCTTAAAACTTTAGCATGACATACAGGAAAATAGCATTTTTGGGAGTTTCGAAATTATGGACCTCTGTAGTTGCAGGGACTGTGGACAAATTCACTAAAGTCATCCCAGTTGAATCTCTCTCCCTACTTTCAGAGTACACATACTATTGTGTGTGTGGTAGAGATTAGAAGGCCTGCAAGTGACTGCTGGAAATGGGCAGCGGGGGGAACTGCATTAGCTTATAGAAGGACTTCATTGCTTCTGCTGTAAACTTTGACGATGACTTACTCCACTATGCCTGCAGCTAGAGAGTTCTGCCAAGCTCTTTTAATGCTTAAGAAATATTTAGATCCTCAATTGCCCATGACCTGGCTAGAGTGAACAACCGTCATCCTGCGACGGTTGTAAGGTTATTAAAAGCTCTGATAAATGCAGGACCACTTTTTTTTTTTTCTTTCAAATTCATGCTTTTCTCTGTTTTGCAGAAATTGCTGTTGATTTTCTTGTCTAAATCCCTTCTAATACTGATTTCTAAATGGGAATAATTCCAAGTTGGAGTATTGCAGTGAAGCAACATCATTTTTTTTGACAGTTGTTGAAGATTGCAACATCTGCATACTGAAATTTGAAATACATTTCATATGTTCAGTAACAAAATTTTCAGGATCTACGATCTGTTGCCTGTGTCCTTCAATGAACGGAGAGAAAAGGATTTTACGGTGAGTACAAAAATCCTATTTTGTAGCAATTGACATATCTGTTTTCGCTGCATCTATAACCATCTGTGCTCTATAGATCACTACTGTATGACATAACCAATTGCTGGCAATTTTTTTGTGATCTGGCCATTTCTCTTGTTTCTATCTTCAAAGAATATTCTTTTTAATGTCTTCTTTTAGGTACTGCTTACTGAGGACATTAAAGCAGTGTCAGGCTCTAAGAGAAGCTCTTATAGCTGCAGGAAAAGAGGTTTTATGGCATGGGCGAACAAAAGAAGAACCTGCACATTACTGCAACATCTGTGAGGTTGGTTACACACAAGCTAATCAGTTCAATAGACTGCTTTGCTTTATTCCAAAATGTCTAAATAAGGCAAGCAGTATTTATACTGAATGTTGTGCAACTGCTAATATAGTATTTTTACTTCCAGGTGGAAGTCTTCAATCTGCTTTTTGTTACTAAAGAAAGCAATTCTCGGAAGACCTACATAGTTCATTGCCATGACTGCGCACGAAAAACGAATCCAGATCTGGAAAACTTTGTGGTGCTAGAACAGTACAAAATTGAGGAACTAATGCAAATTTATGACTTATTTACATTAGTAAGTATTTTTTTTAAAGTATTTCGCTAGTCAATGTGATTGAACACAATATACAGACTGATTAAAAAGAAAGTCAAAATTGTTTTCAGATATCGTATTTGCTCTCCAATATACAGTGAATATAAAAAGTCTACACACTTTACACAGGTTTTTGAGATGTAAAAAAAAAATCAGACCCAAGATCAATCACTTCAGAAATGTGTTCACCTATAATGTGTCCTATAATTTATACAATTCAATACAAAAAAAAAATCTTTAGAGGGGGGGAGGATAAACTTAAAATAACGTGGTTGCGTAATTATGCACACCCTTAAACTAATACCTTCTGAAACACCTTTTGATTTTATGACGGCATTCAGTCTTTTGTGGTAGGAGTTTTGTCAGCATGGCACACCTTGCCTTGGGAATCTTCACCCACTCTTCCTTGAAAAAGTGCTCCTAATCTGTCAGATTGTGACGGCATCTCCTGTGCACCACACTCTTCAGGTCACCCCAAGGATTTTCAATTGGATGGGGGGGTCCAGGCTCTGGCTGGGCCATTCCAAAACTGATCTTTTTTTTTCTGGGAAGCCATTCTTTTGTTTTATAGGTATGCTTTGGGTCTTTGTTGTGCTGAATGGAGAATTTCCTCTTCAGCTTTTCAACAGAGGCCTGGAGGTTGTGTGCCAAAATTTACAGATATATTTAGAATTGTTCATAAGTACCTCCTATTTTGACTAAAGCCCCTGTTGTAGCTCAACAAAACCATCCCCAAAGCATAATGCTGCCACCTTGCTTTACTGTGGGCTTGGACAGTGAGGGATCTGTACGGGGGGATAGATCTTGCTGCCTGCAGGTTTGACAAAGAGGAAATCTCCTCGAAACGCGTAGCCGTATCCTCCAGGCAGCAAGATCTATCCCCCCATACAGATCCCTCACTGTCCCACGCACTGGTCCATCTTTGTGCACTCCGCTGACAGTCACATCTAGTACTGTAACCACACGCATAGAGTCCGGGGCTACGGAGCCGATCGCGGCTCACTGCTTTCCCGTCTCAGCCGCTGCGGCTCAGCCTGGCCAGCTGAGTTTGTGACATCGGTTAACACCTCGTTTTCCCACTCTGGTCCGGGCAGACACCCACTCTCTTCCCACCTGCTAGCTGGGGACATCGCATTAAACAGACCGTGGAGAACATTCTGTGACAGACACCAGGGCACATAGGCTCACATCCCAACTGTAAGTCATCAATTTGTCCCCTTTTATATGACAAATCTGTATTGCACACTGTTATGCATTTACCCAAGTTCAGCACATTGGGCCATTACTCTTATCATAGGCAGTCGCGCTCCTCAAAAACGTGTTTTTTGTTGGTCTAGAATCTTTTCTCCATTTGTTGATGATGGTCTTCACGGTGTTCCATGGTATATCTAATGCCTTGGAATTTCTTTTAGTACCCTTCTCCTTACTGGTACCTTCTAGCAATGAGATCTCTTTCACACTTTGTAAGCTATTTGAAGACCATGGCTTTTGTTGTAACAGGCATCTGAATAAATGTCCAGAAAAAAAAATCTTACTAGAACAGCTGAACTTTATATGGGCTTAATCAGTCACTTTAACTGATGGCAGGTGAGTCTTGACTACTATTTAAAGGACAACTATGGGGTCAGTGTTTTTCCCCATAGTTC